GCAGCAAAGGAGATTTGTGGCAAACACAAGTTTATAATGCTAACACGTTATGTTCAGCAGGACAATCTCCACATATTAACACCACTTTTATTGGTAAAGCAACATTTTCCAAGAATTAAAAGCTAACATTTGGCTATAAAGGAACTACAGCACGGTCACATGACTTCACGTCGCCACCACTAAGCTAATTGCAGCTAATGTTGGGTGTGATTACGTTTAGACGTGTCATTTAGACACTTGTTAGCAACCGCTGGTTTTTAAATCCACCAGTGGGGTAGCTTACGTTAACCACAGAAGGTATTTTAGGTAACCGAAACACATTAAAAAAAATCACTGATTTCAAGACGAGGGAACCAAGATGTGCTAAAATGCTTTCTCATTTCTGGGTTTTAGGACTCATTTCTGCACCACCCTCATAATGTAGCATTTACCTTCAGTTTCTGATGAGATGGGTGTGTCTGGCATCTGCTTTCTTGTGTGGTTTGGCTCACTAGCAGGAGAGAATTCAGCCTCTACATGCTGGAATACATGGAATGAGTGCATGCCTGTAGCTGCCACTTATTAAATAATTAATGTGTGTGTCAAGAGGTGGCAGACCCCTGACTGGGCGCCATGTTTTTTGGGGCTTCTTGACTGTGTGCCAGCCTTTTTGTGCCATAGCTGCCCCCAGCTGGATTGTATTGGGGGGGGGGGTACAATGAGATTAATAACAGGGTCTGTGTAGCACCCAGCCCAGCCTCTTCCTGTCTCCGCTGCCGGCTGCACACCACTGCCCGTGTGAAAAACAAACACCTTCCTCTCTTTGTTGCGGCTGGTCGGCCATGCCAATACGTCCATCACCCCCCCTCCGGAGTCCCACCCTCTTCCTGGTCTCCTTCCACATCTTTCACACACTTGAACACACACCTGCATGTGATCACACAATGTAGGGGAAGACACACAGCTTTAATTTTGACTACATGTTTCTGATCAACTGTTTGAATTACCTTGTATAATCCTGCATATACTTATATTTAAGTATTCAGAAAGAGAGACAAGTGGCTCCAACTCACATTATTTTCATCAAACAATCTGCTCATTATGTTAGCTATTGATCGGTGGGTCTAAAACATGTCATCCCAGTTTCTCAAAGTCCAAGTTGATGATTTGAAATGTCTTCTTTTGTTAGTTCAAAAGCAAATAAATGTACTTTAATGTGATATAAAACTAAGAAAAGCTATAGACTACCTTCCTCTCTTTGTTGTGTCTGGTCGTCCATGCCAATACGTCTATCACCCCCCCTCCGGAGTCCCACCCTCTTCCTGGTCTCCTTCCACATCTTTCACACACTTGAACACACACCTGCACACACTCAGTATCACCATGTGTTCACACAATGAAGGTAATGACACACTCAATGTGGTCTATTCAACTGTTTGCTTGATTAATCCTGCATATATTTATGGTTCAATCTATGAATCAATCAAATGTATTTATATGGTCCAATATTACAGATTACAAATTTGCCTCAGGTTGTCTTACAGTGTGCACAGCATGAACTTCATTCTGTATTTAGACCCACGCATCACAAAAAACAGAAGTGCATGTTGTGTGAACAGATTAAAAAAGATAATAAAATTGCAATATAGAGGAAAATGACAAAAAACATGTTATGGTTCAAAGGAAGGACGAGGGCTGCCTGCATCTAATAATCATTTCCCAAACAATTGAAACATTTTAAAATAGAATCCAAGTTTTTATTTGCCGATTATTTTCAGAGCATCACAAAAACTTCCTTTTTAAATATGACAGAGAAAGATGAAGAGAGACCAACATGTTTTTATGCAATCGGGTGCTCTGCATGTTTTGGGGTTTTGTGTAACACATTTCCCCTTGAAGCTCAACCAAATCTCCCATCTCCAGACAGCAGACAGCAGACAGGCAGACACACACACACACACACACACACACACACACACACACACACACACACACACACACACACACACACACACACACACACACAGATACAGAGATACACACACAGACACAGAAACACAGACAGCATGCCCACCCAGACTGTCTCTGATGAAAAGCCTGCAGAAACAAAAGCTTGTAAGCCATGAAACAATGCTCCCTTCAATGTCTCACTGTGACTGAGGGAAAACACACAATTCACCCTAAAGAAGCTCACTCTCTGCTGCTCACTGCTGTCTTCATTTCTTGTTGGCGAGCTCAACCCTTTTAATCCGTTTCTCTCAATATCATCTCTGTTTACTCAGCCTGTACCACTCTGAACGGGCAGCAGGTGCACGTGTTCAACTGCTTTCACTCTTTAAGGTCTGCCGCTGCAGGAAACATGACTTAAACTATATTAGAATAATTTATATTTACTTTATTGATCCCAAATTGGAAAATTGTTTTGGTACAGAAGCATAAAGCATTGCAAATGAGTTAAACGTAGACTAATATATAAAATAACACTAACTGTGTACATATCAACATTAGAAACCTGTATATCCATAGAGTATTTATACAATTTGCTATACTATTACAAAATAGGTTCAAATACACTGTAATAGACCAACCGGCTGCATATTGTAGTGTATTCATGAGTTTTGCAAGTCTGATAGACACAGAAACAAATGTGTGTATGTCTATAGAATACCTAAAATACACAAAATATACAGAATAAGTTAGAATACACTGTAACAGACCAACATACTACAAAAATAGAAACATATTGTACTGTATACATAAAATATGCAACTGCAAAAGACAGACAATTAGCAAGACGTTACATATTTTGTATGTAATAGTAACATTTTGGAATTAACTCAAAAATCAACACGTTTGAAAATGTGTTCACAGATTTTAAATTCCATGATGCAACAGTCAGACTGAAGGCAGACAATGCCTGCAACTTGATGCATGTGGGGCAGCAGTAATGCACCGTTACAGAGTGTGTGTGTGTGTGTGTGTGTGTGTGTGTGTGTGTGTGTGTGTTTCTCCTGCAGAGTCTGACAGCTGCAGAGCCTCCAGAGGTTGAGCTTCAG